CTCGGAGAGGGGGCGCCCGGGGGGGAGAGGGGCAGGGCGACGCGAACAGGGGAAGGAGGAAGGACATACAGTCGGGGCGTTGACCTAAGGAACCCTAAATAAGGAACGAGCGAGGCCCCTTTCTCCCATAAGTTGAACTTCGATTTCCCATGGGAAACCTCAGGAGAACCGAAGGTACACTGCAGAACAAGCAAGGAACACCGAGCCCCTCCCCAACGAAAAGGGTTCCTTCTTCAGGGCCCCGACTGTACACATCATAACTCGGAGGCCCGCGCGGGTTCCTCGGATCGGCGCTGAAGGCGCCGCCAGGGGGCCCCAGCGCGGATCCGAGAACTCCGCGCGGACCTCCGAGTTTTCATGTTTACGTCATTCTTCGTTCCCCTAGGGTTAAGTCGGGCGTGTCCCCCTGCAGGGGGATTTTCGACGAAATATAATAAATGCGCCAAAAATACCCCCAAATGGTCAAAAAGTATTCAGAAAATAGTCCCAAGACTATGTTTGGACTATTTTTGAATATCCCCCCTGTAGAGGGACCGGCCCGACTTAACCCTAGGGAAGGGGGGCGGGGGGCAGCAGGAGAGGGGGGGGGGGACGCGGGGGGGGTAAGGGGGCGAGCGACGGGGGAACGCCCTGAGGGGGGCAAGGTAAAACAGGGCTAGGATCGGGATAAATCGCTCCAGAGCGTTCCGGAGCGCTCTCAGAGCGTTCCGGAACGCTCTGGAGCGGCCGCGGCGCCCAATATATCCTCCAAACCCGCCGATTCTCAGAGATTTCGAGTTATCCCGATCCGATTTTGTCCCGATCTTCGCGTCGTTTTACAAGGGGCGGGGGGGAGCGCTGGCAGACGCTGCGCGGGCGCACGGCGCGCTCGCCTCGGACGGGGGCAGGGCGGCCGTCGACCCAGAGCAGCACGGCAGCCGGCAGCGGCTCGGCGAAGGCCGCCAAGGCCGGCCAGCCTCCAGGCCTGCTCCCCTCGCCTGCGAGGCCGCCAGCGCTCGCTGCCCGCAGGAGGCCTCGCGCCGGCCGCTGTGCAGCGGCGACTCCGAGGCCAGCTCCTCGACCAGGAGGCACTGCTGCCCCGCTTGCGAGAGGGGACGACTTGACCTGGGGCATGTCCTCCTACACGCTGATTTAGGAGGACACAGCAAACGTAATCCAAAGATGCAGCAACATAGTCATGACAGATGTTGTTCAAAGAAAAAATCGTCCCCATACTATTCTTGGATATTTTTGAGTACTCCTCCTGTCGAGGGGCATGCCCGACTGAAGATTCGACGTTGGCTGCTCCTGCCGCGGCGACTGGATGAACCGCCACAGCGCGCTCCGGGACAGGGGAGTTCTTCGACGCACTGGCGGCGGGCTTCGCGGGGGCGGAGCTGAAGCGGCTAGACCTCTTCCCACGTGGGGAACCAAAATGCAGCGATGTCGCTACTCCCCGGACCTTTCCCAGAGCGCGTCCTGACTAGAATGACGCGAACTATGGCCGCCCACGCAGCCCCAAAAGGGGAAACCGAGAGGCGAGGGTAGTTGGCGGTGTTGGTATTCTTTCCTCCTGTGAGGACGGACCTGAGGACGCTGGCAACCGCCGCCCTGGTGACGTCTACCTGCCCAAATTTCGCAGCGGCTTGCCAGCGGCCAGGGGCTTCGCTTAAGTCGGGCTTGTCCCCCTACAGGGGGATTTTCGATAAAACATAAAAAATACCCCGTAAATAATCCAAAAATAACCCCAAAAATTGTCTGGGGACTATTTTTGGAGTATTTTTGGCCTTTGGAATTTTTTGGAGGTATTTTTGTTTTTCGTCGAAAACCACCCTGTTGGGGGACAGGCCCGACTTAAGGCTTCGCTGGTGCGTCCCGGCCGCGCGCCGGCCGCAGCGCCCTCCAGTGCGGCCACGGGGCGGCACAGAGAGTTCGAGCGGCGGCACCTGGGCACCGAGCGCCAGTGCGCGGCGGGGGCGCGGGGCGAGGGGGCGAGGGAGAGTGTGGACGGGGAGGGACAGGACAGAAAGGTCGAGTGAGGAGGTGGAGAGGAGGGGGGGGGAGAAGCGAGATGCGGGCAGGTGCGAGGGCATGGACTGGCGGAGGACGGGTGCGAGGGCGAGAGTGGGGGTGACGGCGGCGGCGAGAATGACAATGATGGCGTGCGGGTGATGGCGGGGCGAGGGTGAAGGTGCAGGCGACGGTGAATATGAGGCTGACAGTGACGGCGAGGGTGAGAGTGAGGGTGACGGTGCAGGTGCGGGTGACGGTAACGACGAAGCTGAAAGTGGGGGGGGGAGAATGGGGGAAGCCAGGGGCAGTCTTGGTTTCATGGTCCGTCTTGGGGCCTTCTTGGGCCGTCCAGGGGCTCCTTTTTTAGATGATGGCAAAAGTAGAGCGGCGTTCAAGCAAAACGCATCAGTGCAAAAGCGGCGTGCCACAGGGAAGAAAAGGGAGAGGTATGATAATAAGTCTGGGCTCCATCCCAAGCGTGTGGTGGTAAGCTCAAGGGTTTCAGCGAAATGCTCCATGATGAAGATTAGATCAAAATTGCGCAAGTGAGACTTGGCTAGCTCAAGATGTGCTCGGGTGAGTGGTTCACTCTGGCTCGATCCAGCGAGCGATTAAAGAATGGTGCTGTCCCAAAGACATGATTCGTCCAGCGCGTCGGACTGATCAGGAGTTCCGGACATAGTTCCGGCCCCAATCTGGCATACTTTGCAAGCGTCCGAGACCCCACAAAGCTCATCCGCTCTAGGGTTAGTTTGCAACGCTTTGTTCCAAGCTTTGCATGCAAACAGCCTGTGGTAAAACATATTGAGAGGGTGGCGCACGGCAATGCTGAATATCCTCGCCTTGTTGGCCCCGCAACCAAGCTCATCCAACGTGTTTTTTTTGAATAGCATCCTCTAAACCAGTCCACGTCTTGTCATTCCATAACACATTTTGTTAAAGCAACCCTCCCTATGATTATTGTCGGAACTCGTCATGTTCCCAATATCCCTGGCCAAATCGGCCAAATAGTTTCCCGCAACGTGGTACGGGCCTGGAATGTGAATATGCACAACGGGCCCTTCAAGCGCTTGACTGAGCCCTCCTGAACCCACTGCGGAACGTGGCCCTCACACTCGGAAACTCTGACTGTCTCGCTTTGATCGACCGTGCGTTTCCTCGCGAGGAATTCGGACATTGATGGTTGACCGACTCGACGTGCTGCCACTTGCCGAAGCCCGAGAACAAGAACAACTACCGAAAACGCAATCTCGTGCCACACAACACTCAATGCCAGGCGCGTTCGGTCATCAAGAATATGAAGTAAGAGCCCAAGTGGCTACGGACCGTCTAGGGGGCCCTCTTGGGGACCTCTTGGGCAGTCCCCGGGGCGGTGCTGGAAACCTCTTGGGTCATCTTGGACCGTGTTGCAGGAGGAGGAGGAGGAGGAGGAGGAGGAGGAGGAGGAGGAGGAGGAGGAGGAGGAGGAGGAGGAGGAGGAGGGAGGAGGAGGAGGGAGGAGGAGGAGGGGAGAGGAGGAGGAGGAGGAGGAGGAGGAAAGAAGGAAGGGGAGGAGGAGGAGGAGGAGGAGGAGGAGGAGGAGGAGGAGGAGGAGGAGGAGGAGGAGGAGGAGGAGGAGGAGGAAGAGGAGGAGGAGGAGGAGGAAGAGGAGGAGGAGGAGGAGGAGGAGCCAAGGGCCCCTGGAGGGCGCCGTGGGGCAGGGGGCTCGGGAGGCCGTGCCATGGCTGCCGCAGCGGGGCTGCCCGGTGGCTCTCGGCAGCGACTTTTGAGCCCCCGAGGGCGGGCCGGGACCCCGGGGCACTCGCTTGCTGTCGCGGTCGCGGCCCCGTGGACCCCGGGCTACCCAGACATCGGGCGTCTCGAAAAAATCGAGGAGGAGGTTTTTCACAGTTTTGGGCCTCTCGGGGCCCTCGCCGGGCCTCGGGACTGTCAAAAAACGGCTCGGGATGAAAAAACGGTTCCAGGGAAGTGGTCGGGAGGTCGGGGGCCCGCGTCTCGAAAAAATCGAGACGTCGGATGTCTGGGTAGGTCCCCCGTTAAATGTGGATGCATGTGTAAGATATTCGGGGGCGCGCAGGCATGGATCAGCGACCCGTGGACTTGGCGCGCGGTCGCCAGGCCCATGGAGCGGTGGAGGTGCCCTCGCCAAGATGCGGCCGGCCCCGCCTCGCTCGGCGGCGGAAGTCCGCGCCTTCCCATGGAAGCGGGATCCGTCGCGAATCCAGGCCCCCTTGGTCCATGCGTGCGATCGCCCGAAACATTCCTCTTCCCATTTTGCTCCAAAGCCGGGGGGGCGGGACGTCCCCCCCCCAAAAAAAAACAGAGACTCTCAGGATCTGCGGAGCGGTGGGGCCCCCCGGGCGCCCTTTGAGAGGGGACCCCCCAGCCCTGCCGCGCCTCCCGGGGCGCCCTGCCAGGCCCTGCCAGCAAGCCCGAAGCGCTCGGAGGAGAGGTCGGAGAGGCGCATAGGGGAGCCCCCGCGGCAGCGCAGGACGGCCTCCAGACGGCTCCAAAGGAACCCCAAGTCGGCCCAAGAGCCAAGAGGCCTTCAGGAGAGCCCCCAAGAGGCAAACATCGTCCCATGCCCGAAGGAAAACGTAGATGTTCAGCAGATTCGCTGTTTGGTTTGCGTCGTGGCAACGTCCAGGACGGCCCGAGAAGCCCGCGAGATCGCCCCAGGGCGGCCCAGGAGGCAACCTGGAGGGCTTCGAGCCGGGCCAAGAAAACCCCCCAGGCTGCCCCAAGATGGGGCCCAAGAGAAGCCCACGAGGCCCCCAGAGGCTCCCCAGAGAGACCCACGAGGGCCATGGGAGGTCCCCGAGAGGGCCCAAGTTCCCCAAGAAGGCCCCAGGACGGCCCAAGAGGGACCGAAGACGGCATGAGGCAGGAGAGCCCAGAATCGAATCGATAAGTCGAATCGGCGATCTACATTCATCGAATCGGCGGAAATCGGCAGCCCAGTCGGGAGGAGCCGCATCGGCTGCAATCGGCAGAGCAGCGAGGCCGCA